AGGGCGCCTACTCCGCTACACATACCGGTATACCCACTTTTTGCGCCACTGGCAGGCTTATGTAATTGCTCCACTCGTTGCAGTGTTAATGAAGTACAATAAAAGCGGAGAGTTCCTTACGGGGCTCTGGCGCCCCCCCTAGGGTTTAAGGCGCTTGCGCCCTTAGCATTTGCCTATACTGCCTATGCCACGGGCCGGCCCTGGAGGCATATGTGCCAATCTGGGGGAAATATTCTGCTCGATTATTAATATACGATTGCAGAATTTTCTCAAAACCCTGCAGAAAAGTCACATTGGATTTTTTGCCCAAACACAGAACATCTGAGCACATTCACATCCTCTGGTCATTGCTTGCTGGCACTATGTTTCTGGGACAGCTCCTTGACGTCCTAGGGAAACTGATTCAAATGTGAGCCCTTAAAATTAACCTAGCAAAAACATTAGCTAGATCCAGGTGTAGGGAAAATAAAAATAGACTATTAGACTATCATCTAACACACCCACGAATACACCTGGGACTAAAACTGAGTTCGACAGGGAACTTTAATCTGGCTGTGAATGAATTGACAGCAAAAGCAATGAACTACATTATTAAAAATACAATTCAATATGAAAAACCAATTTAAACCTGGCTAATAATCAAACCAATTGCTCTGTATGGCAGTGACATATGGGGACCCTTTAACCCATGGACGCGGGAAGTAGGGGTGCTGCAGGTGCTGCAGCACCCCCTGTTGGCAAACTGTGATGACAATCAAATGATAGCTTATAAATATATCTCTGGTTGTTGTTTCTGTTCCACAATATTTTGTATGTCATATTTGGGGTGTGGGATGAAGAGAGGGATATTTTTAGTAATTATTTAATTAAAAATTATTTAATTTATCTTCAGTGTGTAGCCTATTAGCCAATCAAGTGTCTTGACGCGAATCACGCGATTACGATTCAGCCTACTCAGCACAAAAAAAATACCGTCTAAAAAACTGCTAGTGATATAACGTTAGTCTATATCAATTTCACCGCCATAGCCATATAATTAGTTAGCTCATGTCAGAGTTTATCAGCCGAACTCCAGAGCGCAAATCTACCTTTGGTAGCTATACCAAAATCATCGTAAGGTAGAGACACGGTGTCTTACATCTCTGCGTATTTTTCCTGCCGCCGTGCAGGCCCAGATGGTAGCCTATATGATTGTGATTAGCATGCCTATTATAAAGAAACGAACCTTTTACTATCATGTCCATTGATTTTGATTAATATGCGCGAGGGAGAGAGAGAGAGCAAGACAGCGCTTGTGTTGTGTGAAGACGTGAGAGTGCGCGCGCGCTGCCGGGGCGCGCTCGCTCTCTCTCTCTCTCTTTGCTTGTTTGTGCCCTGTCAAACTATGTGTCTAACGCATCAGTCATTCTACTCTACAACACTCACCGATCAAAAAAGTATTTGGCAGCCGCCAAAAAGCGGACGATCCGACGGGTTTAAGAAGATTAAATACAACCCGAAACTAAAAAAAAACAGACCCGGCCTCTATTTGAAACCGGTGTTCTGACGATTTGTGCTGCCTTGTCGAAAAATGCTACCGTAGCGCGAATCGATCACAGAATGTCGATTAATATTAAATGAAATACAATTATAACACAATTCTAAGTTATGAGTAGCTACTGTATACTGTAGACTACTGTTTTTATTTTTAAAACGGTGTGAAAAGTAAAAGTTATCATCAAATATTCATCTTTGACTTGTTAAAGCACACCTTTCCTTAGTAACTGAAACTTTCAGTTATTCTTGTTCAGCTGACTGACCGTACAAATATTCATATGGTAGTTGGCATTTTTAAAAGGGAAATTACTTTATAACACATGAAAATTTACCTTTTGTTAAAAAAAAACTGAGTCTGCACATGCGCATAACCAGTAAGTAGCAAATCTCGATGGGTAGCATGAATCGTCAGAACACCTGCCTTTATTTACCCAAACCTGTCGCCACACCAGGCGTGTAAAAGTGACAGGCGTCTATTTGGGACTCGGCTATTATTTGAAGTTTTACGGTGTAAAGATCGTTGCCGTGCTTGCATCACTCCCTTACTCCTCCTTATAGTCCCCATGGCCACTTGGCCTGCGTGAATGCAAATGAAAAAAAAAAAAAAGGTTTTGAGGGAGAGTAGTAATAATTCGTTACATTTATATAGCGCTTTTCTAGGTACTAGTAATTAATAGATCTGTTTAGAAGTGGACTTTTCCTATATCCACGACCACGTTCCTGTAATTGCTTGGTCGAACGACCAAGCCCCAGCCACCCCCCACCCCTGCACGCACGCACGCACGCACGCACGCACCCACCCACCCCAGCACCCCCTGTCGAAAATGACTTCCCGCGTCTCTGCTTTAACCTAAGATTTTTCTAAATGGGAAAAAAAGGCAACTGCATATCCAAATTTGTAAGTAAATTTACCCAGTTAAGCATCAGGCAGAGCTGAATTAGGACAATAAATACCCCTTATTAATAAGCGTCCTAAAACGCAATGAGTCGAGCTCATACCAGACTGAAGATCCAGTGAAAATACAGCAATACAGCCAAACCAGCACAGCACAGTCTGGCCCAACCAAATTATTAAATTACAAAAACAAAACTACATTGCCTTATGGAAATATGCTACGAAATTACAGAAGAAGATGGAACTCTATTTACACCTGGAAAGAGATTATAAACCAGCAGAATACCTGAGCTGTGTGAAAGAGCATAAAGCGAGAAAGACACTAATGCAGTCTGAGTGATCAGTGCCTATAGAGAGAAGACGGATCAGACCGCGAGAGACATGTGTTCACTCCATCACAACATTATCTGCCTATTTCACACATTTCCAAACAAATAGCACAGAATTGTATGGCATTACCATTACCTGAAAAATCAAATCATATTTTGGGAGAAAACTCTTGCTTGATCACAACAGCAACAAAATATGTAACATCTTGCCACAAAGTAAAAGAGTCAGTCAGCGAACAAAACTAAAGTCAGAAATATTCTTACTTATACCTGTATGTCTGACTGTATGAACAGAGAGAGAGAGAGAGAGAGAGAGAGAGAGAGAGAGAGAGAGAGAGAGAGAGAGAGAGAGAGAGAGAGAGAGAGAGTGTGTGTGACTGAAGTTTTACCTCTCGCTCTGTAACATTTGAAAAGCAGCACGACTGTCGCTAGCAGATACGGAGAAGCTGCCAGAAGAAAACTGAGGATGTTGAAGACAGAAATCTGATCTGAAAAACAGAAACACAAGAACATTATTCAGCAACATTGCTATCTATTAAAGGCCCAGTAAAGATCAATATAATTTTTCTACAAACTAAACTTGCTTTCGATTACTTGTACACACTTCTAAATACATCTACTATATTGATTACTTCATTATTATACATTAACATTATCGTTCATGTACTTTAATCAAAACATTAATTCTCATTCATGTCCTTAATGACAGCAAACGCAAATGTTGAATGTTTATAAGGGAATATAACTCCTCACCCCCAAAATACTGACACTGACCACATATAAGCACATTCCGATTCCTTCCTTGCGGATTTCAAATAAATAATTAAATTTTTGATATTCAGATTTTGGGCAGATTTAAAAAAGAAAATTATTTTAATGTTGTTGATTGGCTGTAATTATTACAACTAGTGATGGGCAGATCGAGGCTTCGTGAAGCAATGAAACAGTTGAACCAAATGGTCCATATTGTTTCGAGGCTTCGAATCAATCCGACACCCGTCTCAATGGTGACACCTAGTGGTCACTTGCAGGTGTTGATCTGAAACAACCTTGATGAGCCATTAAACAAATTGTTTTTTTATTATTGTATTTTTCTAATATGTGAATCTTGCAACCTATAGGCTCCTCACTGTGCATAATGTTATTTTGGTCCTGCAAAATTAATATTAATAAAAGAAATCAAGCCACAATGTCTCACTTTTTTAGAGATTTTTATTCAAAAATATGAATTTCTCTGCTGTGGAAGGACTTAGCCTACTTCTTTTTTTTACAGATAATTTCTCCAGCCTTTGAAAAAAATCCCCTCACAAGGGACACTTGTTGCTGGCATGCAAAGATATTTTTTAACTAGGACATACAAATGAGGAAAGATTACAGCTCTCTCTTTCCAGTAAGTTAGTGGATCATGATCATGATGTCACTATATCACCAAAATCCGCTATCTCAAAATCAAACTCCTCTCACAAAAACCCACGAGGTCAATATGCGTTGATTTCACTTTTATACAGATGTGCGATTGTGTGGTCTGTTCCCGACCGTGTCAATCAAACTCTGATTCGGCGGACCACACCTGATGAAACATAGTGAAACATTTCGAGGCTTCGTTTGGCCATAGTCACGTGACATGGGTGTTTTGAATCACGCTTCGGATCAGTGTTTCGAAACATCTGCGCTTCGGGATCTCGCAAAGCTTCGGAACGACTGTTTCGTGTCAGCCATCCCTAATTACAACACTCTTCATTTCATTAGGCTGTTGGTTATGAGGTGTTGATGACTTCAATTGTGATTGGTGACAATAACGGCACAATATTTAGTATATTTTGATTTGATTTGATAGACACTTTTGTTCATGTGAGTTATGTGAAACAATAAACACAGTTCTGTCATGAACTCTCTGAGTGTTTGGCATGGTATAGATATGACAATGTTGATATGTTTGGTATTGAAGGAATAGATCTACGCTGCTGTGAGCAAGTAAGACTGCTGCTGCTGTGAAAAACACATGAATTACCCGTAGCAGATCTATACAGGTGGAGCTGGGGAAGGTGGAGAGTTTCTGAAAGCGCAAAAGCTCATTGGCTACTGATACAGCAGGAACCAATCAGCTGTGCCCTATGATTTGATTGCCAGCAGACTGAGTGAAAGACCGGTCAGCCAGCGCCATCTAGAGTTTCATGACAGAACTTTACATTTGTCAATAACTGATTGTCCTCCAGCAGAAATAAGATAATAATAGAGAATTATAATAATAGAGTGGCGTATCTCATCAGATGCTCATAAATAAAATAACCTGTGACTGAGATCCAGCTGTGGAGAGACTGTCCTCTCTCTGTCTTACAGGAGTAGAAACCCTCATGTGACTTTGAGACAGTAGTGATGCTCATCTCTCCTGTCGTCTGATTCTGGATCAGTGATCCGTCTTTATAGAAATCAGCGCTGAGGATCGGGGAGTTTGTAGATCGATGTAAACAGTGTAGAGTCAGAGTCTCTCCCTCAATCACAGGATCAACAGAACTCTCCAGAATCACCTCACCGTCTACAAACACAAGATATGTGTGATTAATACTGTAAATAGGAAGAATACAGGAAAACAATACATAATCAAAAATATTGATATTATGAATTGTACTTTATACCTCTCAAGCTTTTTTATGCTAGTGTCGTGTAATCTAACCCGGAGCATTAGTTCTTTGTTATTTCTGGTTATTCACTGTCACATTGGCACAGGCGATCACTTCTCTCTTTTTTATTTCCTACGGCAGATTGTTTGATAGCACACATTAGCCAATTTGCCAAAATGTAAAATAGTTACAAATTTCCATGAGAGTTTGTTGGTTGTATATCAGATTTTTAACCACTGGTATAAAATAAGGTCTATTTTGCTGCTTAATCTGCTAATTTATTTGGAAGAGACTGTCTGATGAACGTGAGAAGTGACCACATTTTGCTTTGTTTTTATGTGGCATTTAAGGGCATGTACATCTAACATCCCAATAATTGATACGCCTGGGAAAAACTAAATTAAAAAGACTGTACAGAAGTCAGTCTGCGATCAATTGTACAGAACATATAATGAATTTAGACTTTTTGTAAAAATTTAGATTAAAATGAGTGCAAATGTCACGATTATTAACCGGACTCACCATGTACAGTGATGTTTCGAGGACGACGTTTCTCTCCAGATTCAGACTCACACCAGTACACTCCAGTGTCAGATGTGCTGAGAGAGTCGATTACACATCCAGATCCTGTTTGTTTTGCACAAGTTTGTGTGTGTTTGTCTGTGTATCTTCTTACTGTCCATCCAGCAGAGTTACTCTGATCCTCACAGCTCAGAGAGAGAGAGTCAGAGGAGAAGTGTTGACTTCTGCTGGCATTGATGACCAGAGACACTGAAGCAGAAACTCCTGAAAAGAGGAAAATCTCCATCAGAACTGACAGCACAGAGACTGCAGTGAAACACAGATGCGGATGAGCACAAGCATAAACCCTCACCAGTGATCCACAGTGTGTGTGAGCTGCTGTTGTGTGTGTAATAGGCTGGTCGTCCTCTCTCTGCTCTGCACGTATAAACTCCTGTGTGCTGTAGAGCAGCAGGACTGAGAGTGTAAGATCCTCCAGCTCCTCTGCTGCTGTCTGACAGATGATCATGATCTCTGAACCAGCTGAACGTCCAGCCTGTAGAGGAGCCTGAAACCTCACAGATCAGAGTCACTGATTCTCCTTCAGTCAGCCACGGCTGTGGAGACACTCGCAGTGATGCCTGAGCTTCAGCTGAACAAAACATCATGAGTTACAGAGCCGTAGAGAAACTGATGGAGAAGCTGATCACAACACACACAAACTCACCTGATACAGTCAGTGTAACAGCATCACTGATGTTTGATTTCTGTGAGTCTGATCTCTCTCCTCTACAACTGTATTTACCGCGGTGCATGTATTTAACACTGCTGATGTTCAACTCTTGTCTTGAGCACAGACTGACAGCATTTCTGTGTTTCTGTTCATCAGCTCCACTGGTGCAGCAGTGTTGTTCTGTACATCGATTGGCAGAGTTTATATACCAGTTGTTGGTTCCCTCTATTTCCCATCTGTATGTCCACTCAGTGTCTCCTGCCCACTTTATATCACATCTGAGAGTGACTGTTTCTCCTCTAAACACTCGTTCATCAGGTCGTACCGTCACCACAGCTTTAGGACTCACTGTACAAACAAAGATTATTGCATTTATAGTTTCAGAAGTTGTGTAGATATTGTCTCTGATCTGTATTTGTTGCATCACACACTACAGTCTCTGTCACCTGTAACATTTACCCACAGTGCATCACTGTATTGTGTGTGATAGACTGGTTTCCCTCTTCCAGCTCTACACCAGTACTGGCCTCCATCAGACACTGAATCAATCTTCAGGCTGTAGGAGTGTGTTTTCTTCTTCTCTGTCTCAGGGTTCAGTGTGTGTTTGTACCAGTAAGAGTCCCAGTCTCCAGTGGACGGATCCATGCGACAGGTCAAAGTCACTGTGTTTCCAGTCAGTGCAGCTCCTGCAGGATCTGATGTGAGTTCAGGCTTCGGCTGTAGATCTGCAGGAGAACAACAACAGATTCAGATCCTCGAGACTCAGAGTTCACATGACGTGTTACACAAATCATTCAGTATTTGTCTGCAACATAAAAAATGATTCTGGCATGAGAAAGTCTTCGCCCAGAAAAAAAGATGACTAAATTTTGATGCACATGGAACAAGAATCAGAGCATTTAATATTGTAGAGGTTGGATGTTCGACAGGTTGTTTGTGCATAATATGCATAATACTAAAATAGTGAACTTACTACTTAATTTTAATATGTATTTCTGCATCTGAACAGACAAAAAAGGACTAAAAGTGAATTGCTTCAGTCCTCTTATTGTAACAGATGTGGCTGATACAGAAGAACATAAGAAAAGTGTTGAACCACAAATATGTATTTTAAATGATCATTAAACAGATGTGAATATGAAGACTCACCTGATACAGTCAGTGTAACAGCATCACTGATGTGTGATCTCTGTGAGTCTGATCTCTCTCCTGTACAACTGTATTCACCACTGAGAGACACATCAGCTGTGAAACTGAACTCTGCTGTTGTTGTATATGGATATAAAGTGTCTCCATCTCTAATCCAGCTGTATCTCCACTGAATGTTTCCTTCTCTCTGTATGACACATGTGAGAGTGACTCTCTCTCCACTGAACACACGCTGATCTGGCTTCACCGTCACTACAGGTTTTGGTCTCTCTGTATTAATACACATATGAGTAAATATTGATTAAAACAACATTACAACATCATTGTAGCAACAATGAGTTGTTTGGGGAAATTATTTAACTCAAATGGGGAAGATTATTCATTAGATAGTGAATATGTAATCGCATACATAAATTAAATTATCCCAAATAGGGAATGGACTAAACATTACCATATAGGAATAATTAACACGATTGATCGTAGTAATTATTGATATAGAGGTCAGTTAAGTCAGATTAATTATCAGGATTACCTGCCTGTATACCGAGTGAATATTTTCCGCTGGCCACACGGAAGTATCTGCTCGTATACGGCACTTTCAGATGTTTAAAATAGTTAACCGAGGTAGAGCTTTGGTAACTTTATAGACCTTTGACATATTACAGAGACTTCAATCATGGGACAATGAGACAGATTCGATTCAAAGGATTATGGAATTTAATAACACAATACTAAGGGTTATATAGACTACTGAAAATCACGCAGGAGTAAATAATATGCATATCAAAACAAACAATTAATACAGGATTGCAATATGACGTATTTAAAAAGACACAGTTAGAGTGAGAGTGAGTGAGAGAGAGAGAGAGAGAGAGAGAGAGTGTGTGAGTGTGAGAGAGAGAGAGAATGAGTGTGTGAGTGTGAGTGAGAGAGAGAGAGAGAGAGAATGACAGAACAGTTCAAACAGTGCAACAGAGACCCAAAGGATTCCAATATTAATCTAGACAACTTTAAGCAGCACTTAATTGAGATTTGTACGTTACTTGATTTAAACACGGTCCCTTTGTGTTGAGTTGTGTTACAAAGGCAGCGTGGTTGGAGTTGTCTGGCACGTCTTCCGGTAGGAGGCAGATGTTTGCGATTGCTTCAGCTGCGGCCCGTACGAGAGGCGATTAATCTTAAACTTGTTTCGTTCTTGAATGAAACCGAACTATCAACTGAGGTAGATCGAAAGAAAGCAACTTAGATTTAAAACAAAGTAGAAAAACGACGAAGAAGGAAAACTCCGGCTGGAGTTTCGCAGGAAAGTTTAGGAATCTCTCTCTGGCGTAGGAAACTGCACAGAGGATAAGGTGGCGGTCTATTTTGAAGGGGCGCGGGACACGCCTTTCTCAGTGTTTGATCCAACCGTTTTGCAGGAGGGCGGGTCGGCAGACCTTGTGATTCACGCCCTCCCGGATCATGTGCATAGGGGATAAAACTTGTTCGAAATACACTTCTAAACTAGTATTAATAAAAGCATGCATCATATTACATTCTGGGTTGATGATTCAATCTTCTTTGATTATTCTGATTACAACCATACCAAATTCGGCATTCCTAGGGCTTAGTGAAATGCAGATACATGATTTTCGTGATTAAAACGGATGTTAAATTGATCACATATAAAAGCTTACGGTTATACCAGTTTTGTCACCAGGGAATCATGAAAACACAACCACAAAACATTATACATTTAGAAAAGGGGATTTTTTTGATCCCATGTGTTCCGAGTGTTCCGTGTGTGTAAATGGGTGTTCAGAAGTTCAACCAGCGTTGGTCACGCGGTGAACTCGCGACCAGTCCCGTGTGAGCGTGTGTGCTTCGAATTTGATGAGTTTAAGCAACTGCTACAATGGCCAGTTGTCTAATCTTACAATTCTCTTCTGTGTGTGTAAGCGAAAAACCCCAGGGGGATTCCACGTGTGTGCGCTTATCTGAATGGACAATGTTCGTCTTGTCACCTTCGGAGGGGTTCTTCCAGTGATTCTGATTCCAAGATGGGCCCTTTGGTCACATGTCTGTGTCATATGTGATAAGCAATGCATTTCTTTGTTTAACCATTCGTGGCAAACGCCCGTGAAGTGAATCAGAGTCAGTAATTCAATCAAATCCAAGCCCCATTTGCTTTGTGTGGCAAATTACAACAGAGAGGCTTTGTGAGTGACTCGGTAATCTAATCAGCAGTTCCAATGACCCTTACTTTTGTCATAGTTTCTGAATTAAAAGAATGCAAAACCAGCAGTTTAGGAAAATGGCAGATCTGACCATGGCTACATCATGATCACTGTTTTCAACTCAAAACCTCCTTTTGAGAAAAACGGAAAGTATCTATTTTGCTTGTAGTTCATCAAAAGTGTTTGTATTTTTTTTGTGTAAAAATAAGTAAACACATTGATATTCATATGCAGTCTACATGTATGTTTTTTTGTATTAACATATCACACAAATGTGAATTATACAATATTTACATAATTTAAAAGTTTAAAAATGAAAATTTAAATGTGATGAGGTCATGTGACAGCAGTAATTGCTTATTCTTGAATAATGTGATTCATCTTTTTAAGAGGACAATGATGTTGAACTCACCCTTCACAGAGAGAGAAAGAGAGCTTGATGTTGATGAGTTTGGTCTTCCATCTCTCTGTCCTCTACACCAGTACTGACCCTGATCAGACTCAGTAGCTCCTCTGATAGTGTTTACAGTGTAACGATAACCAGACGTCTGTAACTTTACACTGCCTTTATACCACTCATATCTCCAGTTACTGTGATCAGAGTTTATCACACACTTCAGATTGACTGTTTCTCCAGTGAATACAGCACTGTCTGGTGTCACAGTCACTGTAGATGTGGGTAAACCTGAGAAGAAAGACAGAAACACAAACTGACTTTAACATCTCTTTCAGTGCAAAAGTAACAGAATTACATTTTATAAATGTTTCGAGGATGTTGAAGATCTCAATGATGAAGTTTTATTGCAGCAACAGTGACAAAGTGCATTAAAGCTCCTGCGTTCATCAGAGTCAGAATAAACCCAGAATAATCTCTGCTCAAACATTATATACTGTATTACATTCTTCCTCCAGCTCTACATGTAAATGAAGTTTTGTCTTAGAAGTAAATTGAGGATAACAATGAAAGTGAAAGCCTTGCGTTCCCACATCATTAATATTGTTTGAGACGGGACTCTATGTATCCTTCATGTCTCTTCTGAACACAGGATTATTCTTGACGTCCCGCTGCCGTTTCACACTAGAAGTGATAGAGTTTCACTCCGCTGGTATTTACATATTACTGAGATCAGGAGGAATCGTCTCTATGATAATTAGGCTCTTTTAGGGAAGAAACATATTCTAATACATATCTTGAAGTGTAAGCTGATTCGGGCAGACTAACATTTCTAACACTGTATAGTGTATAGATGATTTTTTCTCATATGTCATAGTATTAGTTGTGTTTTGCTGTTGACTGTCATTAGTTTTGTCATGTCAGTGGTTTTGAGGCTCCGTCCCGATCTCAGACAAACACCTCTGACTCGCCACAGAAAGCAGAATGAAGCTCCTGAAGGAGAGATGAAGATCTCCAACTACAAGCTCATATGAGGAGATACTGAGTCTGAATCAACTTCATCAGACTATCTGAAGACTTCATCAACTCATTTCACATCAGTGTCTGTAAGTCACGTCATTCTCTCTGACTTCAGTACAAAACTCATATTTTCTATTACTAAATATCTCCTGTAACCATAGTTACAGTGAAAAAAGTAAATATCAAAGATGGAGACGTCTATAACACTGGAAAGTCACAATTAACATGTTTTCTGAACATTAAAAAAAAAAATCCTGATAAAAATGTGCAACACAAGACATGCACACTTCATCTGAAGACAATCATGACTAAAAGTGAATTGCTTATAACAGATGTGGCGGATACAGAAGATCATAAGTGCTGAAATATGTATTTTAAATGGTGATTAAACAGATGTGAATATGAAGACTCACCTGATACAGTCAGTGTAACAGCATCACTGATGTGTGATATCTCTCCTCTACAACTGTATTCACCACTGCGAGACACATCAGCTGTGAAACTGAACTCTGCTGTTGTTGTTGTATATTGATAGTCAGTGTTTCCATCTCTAAACCAGCTGTATCTCTGAATGTCTTCTCCTCCCTGTATGTCACATGTGAGAGTGACTCTCTCTCCACTGAACACACGCTGATCTGGCTTCACCGTCACTACAGGTTTTCCTGTATTAATACACATGAGTAAATATAGATTAAAACAGCATCACAGTATCATGATCAATGTTAGTGTTTAACTCAAAACCTCCTTATGAAACAAACACTGTATTAAAAATTAAAGATCTAATTTGTTGGAAGTTTGTATTGATTACATAAACATTGTTTGTAATTATTGATAAACTATATTACTGGTAAACTTTATATAAACTAAAAGACTGGGTATAGTGTGTCATACATGTAAACTGAGTCTATAATACTTGTTTATTATTTTCTATTTGCATGTCACAGAATTGCAGCTTGTACAACATTTACAAATCTTACATAATTTAACAGTGTAAAAATATTACTGACTTAAAATGCAATGTGATGAGGTCATGTGACAATGTAGTATATACAGTTAAATAATATACTGTTGTACACTAAAAACTGCTGGGTTAAAAACAACCCAGTTTGGCAGCAGATTGGGTTAGATTTTTTTTACCAAATGTTTTAGTAAATTGCTACATTTCTGGATTAAGATTAACCCACAATAGTTTGAAAATAAAACCAGGAATCTTGGACATTATTAAATCAATTTACACACACAAAATGACTATCAAAAGGTACAATTTTATTAAAAATGAGAATAAGGACAAACTTAGTCAAAAGTAATGTGCATGTGAGAAGAAAAGCAGAAAAAATGACAAATAATCAGATACAGTTTACAGTTACATTATTATTATTACTATTTACATTTTAATGAAGACAGATGAAAATAACTTGTATTTAAGACCAAATGACACTTTTTTTTTGTATATTATCCACCAACGAAAACACTATAAAATGATGTATTGGTTTCGACGAAGTAATTGGATTAAATATTGCACCAACTTATTCAAGCAAACAAAGGGAACAAGTAAACTCCCAAATTTAAGTTCACTCAACTTTAAACTTATAACTATAAATCTGTAATCTTAAGTTATTTAAGAAACTACCTATACTTTATAACAATTATCCAAGAGATCTACATGGTTGCCTATATAGAGCTATATTATAAGAGTTTAGTTTTAATAACATTACTGAACACAAATAAACCACAACAATAACACTGACATTATAACATTTGCATACGTTATTGATTTTTTTGCCTAAAACACACGTGAAAGAATGTGAGCAAGTGTTTGAATGAGAGCGTGAATTCCTCCACTAAACAACAACACTGAACAAACACTAAACATTTGTCATTACAGATTATTTAACAGTTTGTTGAGTCTGAACACACAGAACACGCTTCACTGCCAATTCCCATTATGTGCTTAGGAAAAGTGATGTTCAGTCATGACGAAGATGATGTCACTTTAAGGCTGAATGCACGATCATGCGTTTTGTGTTTGCGTTCGCTTAATGGGTTAGTTCACCCAAAAATCAGTAATTACTCGCCCTCATGTTGTTCCAACCCCGTAAGACTTTCGTTCGTCTTCAGGACACAAATTAAGATTTTTTTGATTAAATCTGAGAGCTGGATCACTCCTCCATAGGCTTCTAAGGGATCGAAACTGGCCGGCCCAAAAGTTATTAAAGACATCGGTAAAATAGTCCGAGTGCCTACAGTGGCTCAACCATAAGTTTATCAAGCGACGAGAATACTTTTTGTGCGCAAAAAAACAAACAAAAATAACGACTTTATTCAATTATTCATTTCCTTCTCTGGGCCGTGATATTTCACGTAGTGTAACAGCGCAGCGCTTCTGTGTTGTACGTCACACGCTTCACACACATGACCAGCGTTTAACATTTCTTACACTATGGTTTATAGAGTATTTTATCCCATATTTCATTGTTGTGTTTTGCTGTACTGTCATTAGTTTTGTCTATCTATCTATCTATCTATCTATCTATCTATCTATCTATCTATCTATCTATCTTTCTTTCTTTCTTTCTTTCTATCTTTCTTTCTTTCTTTCTTTCTTTCTTTCTTTCTTTCTTTCTTTCTTTCTTTCTTTCTTTCTTTCTTTCTTTCTTTCGCACACAACCAATCAGAGTATCATGGCAACCACATAGCAACACTCTAGCAACCACCCAGAGTATATGGAGTTTAGGATTGTTGCATTATTCCAAATAAATAGATTGAGATTCACAAACTGTTGGAGAGGAAAGGATACTGCTAGGCTCTAGTTCTACTTGTTAGCAGTACACCCCTGGGTGTCGGTCAGGACACAAAGAACGAGGAGACTGGTGCTTCTTTCCAAAGTGTATTGAATATTAGTCTAAAATAACAAAAAACATAATATAAATATAGCTGCGAGCAGCAATTACGGGCCCAAGCCGGTGGCACCGCAACCCCGGTGCCTTTAGTTACCTAAAGGCACCGGGGTGGCGGTACCGCCGGCTTTGGCCCGTAATCGCTGCTCGCAGCTATATATATATATATATATATATATATATATATATATATATATATTAGGGATGCACCGAATCCAGATTTGTGGGGTTCGGCCGAATACCGAATCCACTGGTTAAGATTCTGCCGAATCTGAAACCGAATACCGAATCCTACTCTCATCCTCAGTCCATTAACACAGTAAACACATTAATGAAGTAAACAAAGTGGATTTTTCATTTTATTTTATTACTGTAAATAATAAACACTACTTTTACTTTTATAACTGTAAAAAAAAAAAGAATAAGCAACATTATGCATTTTAACAGCGGCGATGTTGTGTAGCCTATTGTTTCCTTGCCACCATGAGACAAATCGGCATTGCAAATTGAACATGTAGCTCGACTTGAATTGCCTTCTTTTCACTGAAAGTACTGCCAAACAACACTTTTTCTGCTCACGAGTTCCATTTTCACTTTCTCACAGCCTACTGCATTCGAAACGGTGCACCTGCTGTAACGAGTGGAAATAAGGTGTGGCCCCTTTAAGAACTGCGCGCTCCTATTGAACTGTCTGCAGTCCGTATTGTATGTGCCGTGCGCCTCGAACACATGCCCATGTATGCGGGTTATTTCTGTTTGATGCTCATTTTTACCTTATTTTGTTAAGTAACGCTGTGGAACGTAGAACGTGTGACAGACAGTTACACAAGTTCGATTGTGGAATAAAGTGCGAGTTGTGAGATGCCAATCGCCTCCGTGAGTCTGTCTGGCCTCTGCAATAACTTTAGCTGTGAGCTATCCCTATTTTTCTTCCTGACACAACGCGTTACACTACAGGCTTGTTCGACTGCACAGACAGATCAGTTTATGACATCAAACTACCGCGAGAGCAATTCAAAAGCATAAGGAGCCGTCTGCTCTCTAATCGTTCACGCGGTACTTTGATGTCATTCACTGATCGGTGACTTCGACGTAGCGCGGGTAGTGCAAGCCTAGGGTTCGGTTCGGTGGAAAAAAAATCTGAGGTTCGGCAGAAACTGAACCCCGTTAAAAAGCCCAATATTCAGCCGAATCCGAATCCGAATCCTGGATTCGGTGCATCCCTAATATATATATATAAAGCCAGTGGCACAGCCACCCTGGTGCCTTTAGGGTTATTGTGCACGACGTGACACAAAATATCTGCTCGCTATCTGCCGAACGGCTCTGGTAGTTCCGCTTCAGCACTGATGATGTTGTAGAAATAGTGCGCTCTGGTTGGTCTGGATTATTCGGGATTTTTTATTTTATACAGAAATAAATTATTTATAATTCAGATGAGAATAAAGTTAGTGTTGATTAAAATGAAGGAAAACAAATATATTGATCTGAAATATAGCACATTAATTTTAAATTTATTTACATTTAAAAGATATGGGTTGTATGCACTTTTTTTTTTTATAAAAAAAAAAGAAATATATCCAAAAAGACAAGGCCTTAAAGGGTTAAACTCTTGTCACTGTAACAGACACAATCTCTCTCTCTCTCTCTCTCTCTCTCACACACACACACACACACACACACACACACACACACACGTCAAGTCACTTCCATTTTAGATGCAATATTGAATAAGCAGAAAAATCGGATTTTCTGCTCTGAAAATATAAATAAGCATAAAAATTGAATAAGCACTTTTAATATTCTGAACAGAATAAGCACTAGTCGCTAATGAATAAGTACTAGTACTTAATGGAATAGATACTAGTATCTAAAAAATAAGTACTAGTAGCATGAAAATAGAGACTAGTAGGTTAAAATGATAAAATGTTAAAACGGCTTGCCATATTGGCTCAGAGAGAGAGAGAGAGAGAAAATGACCTTTTAGATACTAGTACCTATTAATAGATACTAGTATTTATTCAATAAATACTAGTACTAAGTCATTAGATACTAGTACCTATTAAATAGATACCAGTACTTATTCATTAGCTACTGATACGTATTCAAAAGAATATCTAAAGAATAAGCACTAGTATCTAAAGAATAGGCATTAGTACTAAAGAATAAGCACTAGTCGCTAATGAATAAGTACTAGTACTTCATGGAATAGATACTAGTATCTAAAAAATAAGTACTAGAAGCATGAAAATAGAGACTAGTAGGTTAAAATGATTAAATGTTAAAACGGCTTGCCATATTGGCTCAGAGAGAGAGAGAGAGAAAATGACCATATTCAAACCAAAATATCTGACTTCCTCTTGGTCTGAGCTAATGACAGTTAATTAGAAAGTTGTCCGGCTTGATCTGAACAATATGCGTACCGAGTTTTATGATTGTAGGTAAAACTATAAAACTAACCCCCCCACTTTTGTCAAAAGGTGGCGCTACTGAGTCCCTGCACCACGCCCGTTTCTGAAACTATGCACATGTCTACTGGCTAATAAATGTGATCTGTCTGTCGAGTTTCATGCAATTTTAAGCAATTTCAGGCATGCTAAGAGTCTCAAAAGCATCCAAAAAGAATATTAAAGTTTGATGCGTTGCCATGGCAACAGTATCTAAGATATCAATAATCCTTTCACAGGTCTACATCTGGCATGTGTCTACATTATACACATAAAGTTAAAGCAAATCGGGTAAAAATAAGAGGGTGATTTAAAAGC